CCTTCTCTGGAGAAGTCCAGTATCTGAAATTAGTCTGAAGGAAAAAATCATTAAAGAGCATCTCGCTACCCTCTCCACACAAAGCATGAGTCCCTCAGTCACCAACAGGTAGTCCGACAGTCTGACAAAGAGACAGAACATTTCCCGTCCAGCATGCTCATCCTCTCCCGAGTCAATCCACTACTTTCCCAGATAACTCTGGCTCTAAAAATATTTTAGCTGTTACTAACTGACTCTTCTTCTGGCCCCAGCTTCATCTCAACATGGTGAGTACAAAGCTTTTTCTAGCATAAAGACCTAGAATCACAATCTTTTCAGCTTGCTTTCACAACACACCCCACTCTTCCCAATTGCCACTCAAGAAGCAGGAAGTAAGTCCAGGACAAGAATACATCTTCCCAATAGAAAGATACATTTATTTTCATTAAAAAATTATCGAGAGCCAGCCCTGATGGCCTAGTGGTTAAAGTTTAGCACACTCCACTTTGGTGGCCCGCGTTTGATTCCTGGACGCAGAACTATACCACTTGTCTGTCACAGCCATGCTGTGGCAGTGGCTCACATAGAAGAACCAGAAGAACTTACAACTATACACAGCTATGTACTGGGGCTTTGGGGGGGCGGGGGGAGAAGAAAAAAGGAGGAAGTTTGGCAATTTTAGCTTAGGGTGAATCTTCCCCTGCAAAAAAGAAAAAAAAAACCCTCTCAAAATAGTTAATTTAAAAAAAACTGTTATTGACACACAATCACATAACCTTGAAAAGGCCTTGGAAGCCATCTACATCTACTTCCCACCTATTGTATGAATTACTTCAATAACATCTCTGGGCAGTATATTTATGACCTGGAATCTTAAGATGGGGGGTGGAGAGTTCTTTAGCTTGAATGTTAAGTAACTCTGAGCACAGTTTTAAAAAGCTGTTCGTTAGTACATAGGTCCGGGAGGTAACATTGGTTAAGAGAAGCAGATCAAAAGTAAACTGCACCATTTGGTTACTTTCCATTACCTCATTGTCTCTTGCTACACAATTTCCCAATTGTTAGAATGCTAACTTTGGTACCTTCTAAAAATAATTTTAAATGCCTTTAAAAAGATGTGAGCTACTAAAAGTACCGGTTACTTTTGGGCCCAAAATTGAGTATGCTTTTCAGCTTCTAAAGATCTTTTAAAGTATGACATAGAGGGACGTGGACGCTTTATTTGGTCATTCACACAACAAATAAAGAGTAAGGGCCTACTCCATGCTGGACACTGTGCTGGACACTAGGAAGACAGAGAAAGCAGAAAAGAAAAGTTCCTATCCTAAGGGAGTTTTCTTTATAGAAGAGACAGATTATCACCCAGAGAATTACAAATTGAGAAAAGTGCTAGAAAGGCAAAGTACAGGATGCTATGAGAACGTGTAATGGGGAAAACTGATCTAGCCTGGGGATTCAAAGAAGGATTTGCTGAGGAAGTAACGTTTAAGCCGAGACATGAATGGTGGCAATTCACATTTACGTAAAAACAGATTTCCATAAAATGGAAGGGTTGATCCAATAAGCCCAGTTAGCTTTAGAATCTTTATCCTAAAATAGCCTCTTGTTTAAAAAGAGGGAAACACAGCATGCTAAAAGGAGGTTTGAGAACTCGCAGTTCCAGGTTCTTTGGGGGGGGGACAGGGTCTCACTCATCTTTGCACAGTGCACATCGCCTTGCCCAGCATAATTATCACCACGGCAGTCACTCCAATCTTTGTTGAAATGATTGGTGTCAGCATTAAATCAAAGTTCATATTATCTTTAGTTAAGCAAAATAAATTCACAAAACTGTCTCCTCACACAAGAAACCCCATTCTGAACTTCAATTATGAAAAGATGCTTTCATCTACTTCACAGGATTGCTATCAAGATTCAATGAGATAATATATTACTAAAGGCCGGGGTAAATTCTGAAGTGCTTGCAAGTACATGGTATCAGTGTGACCAAAAAGCTTGATCAGCCTCTTCTCACTAAGACAGCTACTTTAGATTCAGCTGTGTTTCATTTTCCTTACCACAAGAAAAACACTGTAACAGAGGTTTGCACAGCCTCTCCAGCTTGGTTTTCTCCCAGGGAGGGAAACTGCATAAACTCTAAGGTCCCTTCCAGCTCTAGAAACTGACCTGTAAATGCTATAAAAGGGCCAAGATTACACTCCTCAACTTAGATTTTAGACTACCTCCTCATCCGCTCCATTTCCTCAGGACTTCTTTCAGGAATGGCAGCACACAGTTCATGATTTAAATTTTTTAACAGACCTATTTTCCACTCAATTTACACGCAGATTTAAGTTGAATGTATTCATCCAAATTAGACCTTCTAAATGATCCGAATAATTGTAAAACTTTATGTCCCAAAGAAAAAATGGAAAGAAAAAAAACAGTCAAAATGACCAACAATCAAAAACAGATTTATAATTCCTAATCCCTTTCAGATTCCTAATCCTTTTCAGATTAAGAAAAATTATTTGCTGTATTTTAAAATCAGTAAATAGAGTCACAAAAACAATCACCATTACTCAGAAATAACAATAAATAAATGCAAACTCATTCATGTAAAAGAAAATTTTTTAAAAATTACATTGGCTAGAAGAGTTGAAATGTCCACCATATGATGCAAATGTATTTACAAGATATTACCACATGAAAATGAAATTTTACCAAAAAAGTTAAAGTGTTCAAATAAACGATGCAGCTAAAGGCAAATTTACATGTTTAATTTGTCTTGTTTAAAATAATTTTTTTAGTGCAGTTCTGAAAAGCTCTCCTAGTTTTACCCTTCACTGAATAGTAGCCTACTAAAAGAGAACACTATTATGATACTTCCAGGCAAGAGACAGGTTTTTAGGATACATACCAGGGCTACCAGATCCACATAAGGTTTGCCACTAGAATGCTTCAAAGTAATATGCTTTCAAGGAGCCCTTTTTTAAAAAAAGGTAATGCCTACGCTAGTAATTGCTAATAAATTTGGTTTTTAAGCACTTTTCAAATTTTTATATAAATAAATATTAATAGCTTAAAATTCTAAACTTATTTCCAGAGAAAAAGCTAATCCTTTCAGTCCTAGTATGAATGTCAAGATAGCAGCTTCCTGTTTGACACTTACTCTTAGTGCTTATTTTAACTATATTTTACATCTACTGAGTGTTTCAGGACGTTAAAGTCCATTACGGTCATTATACCATAAATTACAAAGTGTACACTGCAATAGTCTCTTTTTAAAGAGGTGCAGGGGCCTGCCCGGTGGCTCAGTGGTTAAGTTCACACATTCCACTTCAGCGGGCCCGCCCGGTTCGCCCACCGGGATCCCAGGTGCGGACCTACACACTGCTTACCAAGCCATGCTGAGGCAGGCGTCCCACATATAAAAACAGGGGAAGATGGGCACGGATGTTAGCGCAGGGCCAATCTTCCTCAGCAAAAAGAGGAGTATTAGAATTTGTTAGCTTAGGGCTAATCTTCTTCAAAAAATAAATAAAAAGAAAAAATCATGGGCAGAGGAAAAAATAAATACATAAAAATAAAGAGGTGCAGATGGAAGTTAAATAATCCGTCCAAGGTCACCCAACAAGCCAGTGACAAAGTGGGAGTAGTCTAAAACTTCAGCTCCTAGACTACTAACCACTTCACACTTTCCCAATTCCGAAGGAAAAAAAATAAAGTCAAGCGATTTACTTTCAGTAAGAGCATACCTCAAACACAGTAGCACACTTAGCATAAACACTAACAAAAAACATTCACCTTGAACAAATGAGACAACTTGCTACATTTAGATACCACTGCCACACCCTTAGTTCTTGTAACCAAGCAACTCTACTGGAACTGGATATATGAAATCCTAGAGAATGTTCACTCTTCACTACATACAACTATTTTCACACTAATCAGACATTTATAAGTTAATTTGTTACCGCCTCTTCCCATGCCCAGGTGCTGTGGGGTGCATTAATTTCCTGACTCTTCCAACAGTCAAGTCAAGGACCACTTATCTCAAAAGTAAGCAGTTCTCAATGAGAACTAAGTTACGTAGCCAACGAAAGAAAACTCTAACAAATTGCTGCTTTTAAAGAGATATTTTTAAAGGATGATTACATGCTTCACAGAATTGCTGTTAAGTCGCCCGCAAAGAAGGATGGTTCTTGTAAAGCAGCTTTTAAGGCATATCCCTCCCTGTTCGGGACACAGTCAGACTTGTTGGACAAGACTGACCTGGGCACGCTCACAGAAAACCCCTCTCTGAAACCAGCTTAGATCAGTGAAAGCATCATTTCGACCTCCCAACTGTAGCACACAGCCCTTCCCATACTATAAGGGACAAGATGACCCTCTTTAACAATCTCTCAGGAGAAGGTTCCCTCGGCGGAAACAGTGACAGCCATTCTCCCTCGGATGTTTTTGGAAATAGAAAGTGTTAAGACCAGAGGAGAGGCTCCTAGAAGTGTCAGTGCGGCAGCAGGTGGAGTAGCCCTTGGTGCCGACCAGGTCCTTTCTGACCTAGTCTCAGGTCCTCCGCTTCCCAGCCCCGGTTCCGCCTTATAGACCTTCCCAAGCCGCCCCGCGCCCCTGTTCTCCAACCCAGAGCGAGACTCTCAACCCTCCCGGGAGGCGAGGCTGTCTCCGCAGACAAGACGGCCACCCCACCTCTTCCGGGGACTCGCAGGCCCGCTCCCTGGCCGTGTCAGAGCCTGACGGACCCTGCCGGAGACGAGGCAGCCAGCCCCTGCCAGGGCCTCCCAGCCGGAACCCCGCACTCCACGGTCCCTTCCCACCGCCCCCACCCCTTCGAAACATCACCGCCACCACCCTCCTCACTCCTGAATCCCCCTTCCTCAGGAGCACCCCAGTGGAGTTACCGGCCCACTCAAAAGTAAGAGCGACGGCCACCCCCATCGGTCACCCTGGCCCCCGCTGTCACCGCCCTGCTCCCGGCCTCTGCCAGCGCCGCTGGCGGGCCCCGGTGACGCCCGGGTCGGTACCTTGCGGACCCCCTTGTAGATATAGAAGTAGAGCTCCCGGCCCACATTGAAGCAGAGGCGGTCGCCGTTGCCAGACTGGTCGTTGAGGTTTACGAAGGAGACGCGGACAGGGTTGGATCCCTGCGAGTTGAAGGGCACCCGGTTGGGCCGGCTGTACTCTGAGTGCGGCAGCAGCTTGTACAGACCTTCCCGGGTGGTGAATTGGGTCTTAATCTCGTTCATCTCCTTCCCTCCTCCCTCCGTCGCCATCTTGAAAAGCAGCGTTCATCCTGCCCTAAGTGCCCGGATCACGCCCACCGCGCAGGCGCTGTCCCGGGCTCTCGCTCTCCCCCCCCGCCTCTTCTTCCTGGCCCCTCCCACCCGCGAGCCGGCCCGGCGGGGGCCGGCCGAGGGGACGGGGCGGGCTTGTTTACGGCCCGACTGCGCACGCGTGCTCACCTGGCGCGCTCCGCGTGGAGGGGCGTCCGCAGGCTCCTCCCCCGGGCGAGGCCTCGGGGCGGCTCCGCTGCGGCGCCAGTGATCCCCGCGCGGCCTGAAGGTGGGCTGCCGAGAGGGAAAGGGGACGCCGCGGCGGGGCTGCGGTGCGGAGCGCCGAGGTGAGTTCGGGGCGGCCTCATCAGCTGCCTCTGGCTCTGCCCTGAGGGACCCCGGGACACTAGGGAGCGGAGAGAGTGGCCGTGGCCGCCGCCCCATTCGGGCGAGCACGTGGGGTACTGCGAGTGGAGCGCCGGAGCCCCAGGGTTCTGCCTTCGGGAGAGGGCGGTTCCCCGCCCCCGGGACCTCCCCTCGGCCTCCCTGCACCACCGTCCGGATGCCCGGGTCGGGAAGCCCCTCTGCGTCCCCCGAGTCGGTTTCTGAGACGGTACCGAAGAACCCCAATTTTCCGCCTCACCGTCGATTTTTTAGGCGGGGTGTGGAAGAGGGGTGTGTAGCATATGTATTTGCGAGTCGCGTATCTGACTGAATACCTGTCTATAGTGAGCGTTGGCTAATTTTAAGGAAAGTAGGTTTGTTGGCACTTCTGTTTCTTGTTTGTCTTTACCAGGTGTTTAGAGAAAAGGGGAGGGGCGGGGCAGGGAATGGCTTTGGGAACCGGAGAGTGAATCTCAGCAGGATTCACTTGTCTTGCTCAATAGTTTGAGCTCTTGACAAAGTTAGAGGCCATTGATTAGAAAAAAAAAAAAAAAGGCTCAAGTGAAATCTGCGAAATTGTTTACCAGGCATAGTTGTGTGCATATACTGTACTAGGTCTGGATGTGTAAGGACCGGCCCGCGTGTTGAAGTAAGGTTAAACCATCACCATTTTATACCTGGGTTTCTTGGCATGTTGCACTAGAATAAGAAGGTGTCTAAAGTGACAGAAACATTGTGATAGAATTCCAGGAGGGGAAAACCAACATTTGTTGCACCAAGAATGAGCTATTCCTTTAAGTTCTGATCATAGCTGGAGGCTCACAAAAGAAGTGGATGGAGGTACGCTCTAAAGTAAGAGGAGTCTGAATCATAAGTGTCTATGTATTAGAAAGAAGTAGATGCCAGTGGAAACTGTGCCAGTGATGTAATAATGCATTTGACACTAACATCCTGTATGTTTTATACATGTTGGCAGAAAACCACTGGAGGAGAATCCTACTTAATTCATAGATCCTTAAAATAATTAAAGTTTTTTGTTACAGTTGTCTTGATGTTATCTGCCTATCCCTAAAAGGCAAATAGATATCAGAAGTCGTTTAAAATACCAGGATGTGTTATATGGTCACCATGGATTTACCCCAATTTCCTATAACTGTTATTTTACATTGAAAATATGTATTTATAATGATCAGCTTGAAGGATAGTGACATCCTGAATCACCTAAAAATAATTCAGCTGTGTTTCCTAGTTGTCAGCGGGGAAGAAAGCATAATAATACTTTCTGGAGAAAAAAAACTCAGCAAGCAAAAATTAAAACAAAAATATTTTATTAGCCCTCAATTAACCACAACTTTAAATTACCCATAATACCTGTATGCCTCGGGCATTCTATTAAGGTTTATTCTGTATAAATTCAGCATATTTTATTGTGATCACAATAATGATAGGCTGTTTACTTTGTCCCATCCAAAGCCTTTAAATAATCTCTATTCTTAATACTTTTTCTCTTGTAGTTTTTTTCCCTCCACACTCAAGGATTCAATAAATAACACCCAAATTTATATAACTGAGCCTGACCTAAAGTTCATTTCTGATTTTCAGTTTCAAACCAGGCATTTCTAAATGTATTCAAAGGGACTGGCCCCATGGCGTAGTGGTTAACTTTAGTGTCCTCCACTTCAGCAGCCCAGGTTCTCGGCTTTGGATCCCAGGTACGTACCTACACCACCTGTCAGCCATGCTGTGGCAGCAACCCACATATAAAATAGAGGAAGATTGGCAACAGATGTTAGCTCAGAGGCAATCTTCCTCAGCAAAAAAACAAAAAAAAAAAGCTGTGGGACAATTCAAGATGGCTAATAAAGGGGTAACTGGAGGCCCTCAAAGGAGAGAGAGTGTGGGAGAACTATTTGAAGAAATAATGGCCAAAAACATTCCAGATTTGAGGAAGACTGTAAACTCAAAGATCCAAGAAGCTCAACAAACCTCAAGGACAAGAAACATGAAAAGTACACCAAGGGACATCATAATCAGATTTCTCAAAATCAGTAATAAAAAGAAAATCTTAAAAGCAGCCAGAGAAAAAAGACATGTTACATACAGAGAAACAAAGATGACCTCAGACTTCTGATTGAAAACAATGGAACATGGGCCGGCCCCATGGCCAAGTGGTTAAGTTCATGCGCTCTGCTTCAGCAGCCCAGGGTTTGGATCCTGGGCGAGGACATGACACCGCTCATTAGGCCATGTTGAAGTGGCGTCCCACATGCCACAACTAGAAGGACCCACAACTAAAATATACAACTATGTACTGGGGGGGATTTGGGGAAGAAAAAAAAAAAGCAGAAAGAAAAAGCTTGGCAACAGTTGTTAGCTCAGGTGCCAATCTTTTAAAAAAAAGAAAACAATAGAACAACTTATTTAGAAGAAGTGAAAGAAAAAACTGTTGACCTAGAATTCTATAACAGCAAAAAGTATGAATTCAGACAAACAAAAGCTGAAAAAATTCATCACCAGCAGATCTGCATTACAAAAACAAAAATAGATTCATACCTCAAATTCATCAGTCTCTAAACCTTATCAGTTCCCTTCCCGTTTCTTCAAACTTGAAGCACTGTATAATGGCTTCATGAATGATTTTATTAATTTCACTTTTTTCTCAACTTTCTTCCTATAAACAACTACCAGATTAATTTTCTTAAAACAGTGCTTTGGATCTTACATTCTCTTGCCCAAAAACTTTCAATGACTTGCAGTATCCATATTAAGTTATACACCAAGCAGTCCTCAGCCTGTTCTTACGTATTGCATAAATCCTCCGTTCCGGTCAAACTGTTCTCCCTTCACCCTTAGCTCTTCCTCTTGCTTGAAAAGACATTCCTCCTCTTTCTCCTTCGAAGCCTGTTCTTCAAGAACTAGTTTAAGCCCCATCTTCACCAAGCCTTTCCCACGCCTTGGGTGATAAAACCATACTTGAAACCAAGGGTTCTCAAATTCAGGTTCATGGCTGACTTCAGGGAGTGTTGGAACTCCTTGTAATTGTGTTCAAAATTTTGTGTACATGTTCACTATATCGTCCAAGTCTATACCTTTCATCAGATATTCAAAGAGGTGTGACTACCTTCCCCCAAAATGGAAAAATTACTTCTCCAAACTTCTGTGGCACTTCCCTGAGCTTTTATTTGACATGCATAATATCCTAAAAGCATTATCTTCTTTTGGTATTTTTCAGCAAATGCTAATTATCTTGTATTGATATTTACCTTTTAGTATGTACATGCTCCCTTTCAACCAGATTGCATGCATACTCAAGGATATGAGGGACCTTATTAGAATTCTTTGTATCCTCCAACATTTATTTGAATACCCACATGTGCCACTCTGTTCTAGCTTTTAGGATGCATCAGTAAACAAAAATCCCTCACTTGCGGAGTTGATATTCTTGCAAGGAGAAGACAGGATAAACAATAAACACAAACAGGTAAATTGTGTACTGTAGTGATTGTGCTAGGAAAAAGCAGCAGAGCGAGATAAGGGGGATTGGGGGCCAGCCCCGTGGCTGAGTGGTTAAGTTCGCACACTCCGCTGCGGCGGCCCAGGGTTTCGCCAGTTCAGATCCTGGACGCAGACGTGGCACTGCTTGTCAGGCCACGCTGAGGTGGCATCCCACATGCCACAACTAGAAGGACCCACAACTAAAATATACAACTATGTGCTAGGGGGATTTGGGGAGAAAAAGTGGGAGAAAAAAAAAAAAGATTGGCAACAGTTGTTAGCTCAGGTGCCAATCTTTAAAAAAGAAAATAAGGGGGATTGGGCGTCTGTTGGGTAATTTGCAGTTTAAAATATGGCAGTCAAGGTAGGCCTCATTGAGAAGGTGACACTTCAGCAAAGACTTGAAAGAGGTGAGGGAGTGGGCCATGGCAAGATCTGGGGAAAGAGCTGACCAAGCAGAGGAAAAAGTCATGGCAGAGCCCCCAAGGCAGGAGTGTGCCTAGCATGTTCAAGAAATAGCAAAATGGCCTGGCTGGCTGGGGCAGAGTGAGCAGAGAAGCCATTGCAGAGCCCATTTGTTTGCTGGTTTGAGAGTAGACTAAGGGAAGCCAGAGTGGCAGAGGCAGGCCACTTTGGAGGCTAACTGTGGTAATCCAGGCCAGAGACAGTGGAGGCTGGGACCAGGGGTGGTCATGGTTGATATTGAGAGGGGTGAGAGAACCCTAGATATATTCAGAAGGCCAAGCCAATAGGATTTCCCAGTGGATCAGATGTGACTTGTGGGAGAAGTGGAGGAGTCAAGAAAGACTAAAGTAGGCATAAGCAATTGGAGGATGGAAATGCCGTTACCTGAGATGAGAAAGCTGGGGAGAGCAGATTTTGAAAGGAAGATCAGCAGTTCAGTTTTGAACATGTTGGGTGTGAGAAATGTCCAGGAGGCACGTTGAATAATCAAATCAGGAGAGAGATGTGAGCTGCCCACAAGTATTTGGCAGTCATTAGCTGATAGGTGGTATTTAAAGCCTGGATACCCGACCAAGGGAGTGAGTGTGAACAGTGGGACAATCCAGGAAGTTGCAGAGGAGAAGAGGAATATTTGTGGATGCCTTAGAGCATACCTTCGTTTTGCAACTTAATTCATCTAGAGTATTCACTGTAGGCCAAACATTGTTTTCCATTTTCGAAGATTAATCCATTAAGATGCTGAAAAGCATGTTTTTTAAAAAAAATTTGAGGAGAGCGAGTGTTTGCCGCAGTGACCTCATAAAGAGAAATAGGCATAGACGGGTGTCTTTAGGAACCACATTTGAAATCTTTACTGACTATGTAAAGTAACCAATCTCTCAGATTTATCTTGTTGGATGAGCTTATTCTATTACATTATGACTCGGTCCTTCCTTTTAAGACCGTTATGGGATATGAAAACATCATATGACATGGTGTCCATAATACAGCACTCCTGCTTTCT